ATTGTGCATCCTCCGACTCCCCCAGCTCCTCCTTTGCGCACAGCGACTCCAGTTACTCCTTTATTTCTCTTACGCCTCCTAGCTCGTTCGAGTCGCCCAAGTTGGTCCCGGAGCTTCCGGACATAATCGCACAGTCCAGTCGATTCCATGAGATGTCTGTGCAGGAGAAGATGCTGAAGGCGCTCAAATTCAGCACGGGGTCTGGGTTCACCCGCCCGGTGCCGACCAGCAGTTCGTGTGGGAGAGATCGTTCGGGCAGCGTGGCGTCAACGCAGGTACGTCTGGACTTGCATGTCGGTATACCCAGCCGGACTGACCGTCCATTTACAGGCCATCTACAAAGGTCTCCCACCGTCGCCCAGCGACTGCTTCTTCGACGATACATCATTCGTCCATACGAGCACCCCGGCGCGCATAGGTCTCGGTCTCTTAGTTCCGTCCACCACCACCAATGAGCTGCGGCTTCTATCACCACTTTCATTTCGATCTGCATCGCCAACACCCGGCGTCGAGGCTCCAAACGATACCATATCATCCAGATTGTTATTGTCTCCTCCAGCGATGATTCGCACGTACCGCCCTCAGCCCGTTACGTCGTCGCGCACGGAGTACGTCTCTTCCGCCGAGCAGCCAGCGTCAGAGGGCAGCGACCGAGCATCCCAATACGCAGGGCTCGGGCACGGCCTTCCCAGTCACATGAACACCATGGCCACCAGTTTCGCGTCGGGCTTCACCATCTCATCCGCGCGCTCCATCTCCCACCTCCTCGGCATCGTCCCCTCCAGCTCATATTCCTACGCGCTCCTGCAAGGGATGCCCTCGCTCGCGCGGTGCCCCAAACCCAAAATGCCGAAGCCCGATAGCGCTGAGGTATATACGACCCAAACCCGAACCGGAACCAGCGGCGCGCTCGGCCGCCTGCGCGTCGGGGCGGCGAATCTCGTGCAGGGGGCTTTGCGGAGGGTTTCAACGTTCCGGGTGACGACGCGATCCACGGAAATGTTACGAGTGGAGTTTTCAGAGCAGGCGCAGGGCGAGAGCCGGGGTTTAAAGAGGGTGGTGGCGGCTGTGGGACGGTTCGTGCTTCGGAGATGAGGAAATTTATGTCGAAGGGCGGTTGCGAGAAATTCGTTATGTATCTATTCTTTGCTGTCAAATTTTATTCGACGAGTCATATTAAACGGGGGGACACACGCCCAAAAGGTCCTCATTTTGCGAGTAATGGAGTTGGCTGCCAAGACCAAAGCGGGCGCTTCGGTGGCTGTGGTACGGTTCCGGAAATAGACTAGGAAATTTCATACTGAAAGGCGGGTGCGGGTGGATATTGAAATTATTTATATGAGCGCGTGCATTGCTGCGGATTGCTATGGATCGGGAGAAGGAGGATTTTTTAAATCAGCCCTTCTGCAAGCGCCAAGCGGAAGTCCGATTAAGTAGGACACCAAAGCGTTAGAATCAAATGACTCACGATCGCATAGAGAACAATGGGCCTCGACGCTTGTCCACATGTCGAGGAACCACTTCCTAGTTACATAAAGTGGCCTTGCCACTTTTCTTTCTCTCTCTCTCGTCCCACCACTACCACTGGATTAACGTACAAATGACGGCCGAATCTAGCCCCAAATCCGCGCTCGCGACAGTGCCTACCTTCGCCAAGGATACTGGCACGGTTAACGCCGAGATGAATATGAAGGACTCGGAGGCCATCGTGAGAGCGTCGCCGCAGATACAGAAAGGGACACACGTTTCCGTTGAGCGCCTCGACAAAGAGGACGTCGAGAACCAGCTCCAGACCGAGAAAGACGAGACTGCGAAAGAAATGGGGGTTATTGTGCGGTATGCCACTCGCCCCCACCAGATCTGGGTTTTCGCTGACGCTCCAGGCAGATATATGCATCCCACGAAGCTCTCCCCCAGACCATTGCAGCTGGAACGAACGCTTTCAGTTGACATGCTGCCAAGCCAAGATCAGAACGAGCAGGAGCGAGGGGCTGCCATGCGGTACGCCACTCGTGCGCGCCACAGCTGGATTTTCGCTGACACTCCAGACAGAGACGCGGTTCCCGAGAAACTGTCACCCAGACCGTTGCAGCTCGAAAGAACGGCTTCGCTAAACGAGCTGCAGAAGAAGATCGTCCACGACTGCGAAATCGCACAGCGTCCTGTCGCGGATGTAGTGGCACATCACGCCCGCCTCGAAGCTCCGGCAAACCACAAGGCAAGCGAACACACACCGAAGCCATCGTCCAGAGGATTGAAGCCGTCGAAAACGTTCTCAGTCGGGGTGGTACCGCCAAAGCACGTCGAAAATGCTGTTGTACAGTCTCGTCCTGCGGTGAAGTTGCCGCGCCGTTTCCGCTTCAAAGCGCGGGAACACCCCAACTCCACCGAACCTGCGACGACGACCAAATATGCGCCAGCCGTATCCACCAAGCGATCGTCGGGATTCCCACCTCTAGCTCCCGCTGCGTCGCCGCCCAAGTTTATACCGGCTGACCAAGTGTTTTCGTGCATCGTCCCTCTCCATGGATGGGTCACCGAGGCACAGGTTTACACGTATTTCAAAGTCGCTGGAGAACCGTGCACGCTGAAGGCCGGAGTCAAACGTGCCAGGGAGGATGACGATGAGGGAGGTGACGATCAGCGCGCTCCCCAGCGCCGGTGCTACATCCACGAGGCCCATCTGGTACCCCCGCGCAGTTACTCGTTTTGCATGGTCAAATCTAGGAGGTAATTCGGCGGCAAACTTCCAGGCTTCCAGCGGACTTGTACTTTTTTTCTATTTGTGTATGTACGTCGATAGTTTTGCAATTGTGCACGCGCAAATGAAGAAAGCTCCCCGAGTTCTTTGTTCCGGGGCGAGGGATGTTGGTTGGGACCAAACTTTGACCGGCAAGTCTGTTATGCGAGGACATCCAGACAAGAAACGACAGAGTGAATTTGGAGCGGATGGGCGAGCGTTGTCAAAAGCTGCCGGCGTGTATGCGTATGTTTCTCAACCGGACCGGCTTTCCGAGTCGGTTCCGAGTCCCTGCGTCATGCCAAACGCCTTCCTTTAAACCACTTCCATGACCCATCCAACACTCTCCGAGTCTCCTCAATTCCTCATTCTACAAGACTCTCTCGCACGGCGTCTCCTCTCTTGCCCTGAACTCCAAAACCCCTCTCTAGAGCCTGCCGCGGCTACAGAACCCGAGCTCGACGATTTTTCCTCATATCTTGCACATGAGGTTTGGCCTACGCTTCCTGCCTTATTTCTGGAAGCATCTTACGAGACAAGATCCAACATTCCCGACGACATCGAATCCATATCGCTCGATTCGACCCCGGTGTCATTTATTGACACCTTGGTTTCTTACGGTCTAGCATCCGACTTCGAGGAATGCCAGACCTTCCTGCGTAAGGTCTTGGCGGACTACGTGACATATGCGTGCGCCCCGCCTCCTGTGTGGTCATCGACGCGCGCAAAAGAGTGCGAAATTTGCGAGCGGGAGATCCCGCTGACCTACCACCATTTAATCCCGCGCTCAACACATGCAAAAGCGGTAAAGAAGAAATGGCATCCTACGAGCATGCTGAACTCTGTGGCTTGGTTGTGCAGGTATGTTGCACCCATGTTCTACTCACGCATTTCTGACGCGTTTGTTCGTGATGAAAGACCGTGCCACACAATGGTCCATCATGTCGCGACGAACGAAGAGCTCGCTCAGCGCTACTATTCGGTGAGCTTACTGCTAGAACGAGAAGACATTCAGCGCTGGGGTAAATACGCATCCAAGCAACGCTTCGGTATCCGGCGAGGGTGAGGTGGGTTGCTTCATTTATCAGTATATTTTTGAATCCACTAACGCCGGAGATTGAATAGACTTTTGTGCTTTCCTCTCGATGCTTGGACATGTGGCTAGTATACGCGGTGGAAATGAATCTACCCGAAATTGATTCACCCAGAACTATAGCTATATCAATACATCCAGGGAGGCGGAGTTACTTCAAGGTGTCGTGTCCATCCGCCGGTCAATAAGCACTCAGAGAGCAACGCAACTTTGTTCCTAAACCCGTTTCGGCCTCAGAACCGGACTTTTTGGCGTGGCTCTGGTTTGTTCTCAGGTAACATCGTGTCCCTCTCTCCCTTGCTTTCTCCTAAGATCTTCTTTCGGCTTTCCGGCGCCGCAGCCATCGAGCTCATTTCCCGCGCGTTCACTTGTTTTTTTTTTCTTTGTTTTCTGCAGGGCTTGACGTAGGCGCGACGAAGCTAATTCGGGAGGGAAAAGCCAAAGTCAAGCAAGGTGCGGAGATCGCGCGCTACACAGAGAATTCCGCGGTATTTACGGACGGCTCGTCGCTGGAGATTGACGCCGTGGTATACGCGTGCGTCCAACCGCAAACCATTAAAATATATAAATTCAGGACATCGTACCACAACATCCGCGACACATTGCGCGGACTGTTCGGCAACGCAACCATAGATCAGACGGGTGTTGTCTGGGGCATCGACGAGGAAGGAGAGCTGAATGGGAGTTACCGCCCGTCGGGGCATCCTGGTGTGCGTCTATTTTATTTCTCTCCCTATCTCAAGTCTGATTACTCTCGCTTTACCGTGAGCTATGGTATGCTGCAGGCAATTTCAATATCTCCAGGTTCTATTCGAAACAACTGGTATAGTGTTTGACAATATGCCTCATTTGCATCGTCTAAGGTTGTTCTGTAGGCGCTCGAAATAAAGGCAATCCAATTGGGGCTCTTGACGTTGTAAATCATTTATTACTGGGAAATGGAATTATGTCCTCCACATTTCTGTTAGTAGGGGATGAACCGAAAGATAAACCATGATGGAATGGGAATTGCCCAGAGCAAGTTACCAGCGTTGCTCGACTGAGGCACGATTCTTTATTTAGATTCTTCTTGTGCTCCGACTCTCACAAGTCGGTGTTGGGTCAGACTAAAATCCAGGCGCCGAGAATAAAAATAGACCAACGCGACTTCTTCGAAGAAGAAAAAGATTCCCGCTAGCCGGATTGAACGACTGACCTCATCATGTCGCACATCAAATACGAGTGATGCGCTCTACCACTGAGCTAAGAGGGACTTGTAAGTTGGCGAATAAAGGGTCTGAAGGGCAATAATATTTCACCGACGGACGCCGTCGGTCAACGAGTTATATACAGTAAGTTGGCGAACAAAGGGGCTGAAATGACAACAATGTTCACCGACGGACGCCGTCGGTCAACGAGTTGAACATAAAAATATACATATGCAGCGAGCGAGCAAGTGAGAGGGACTGACCGATGGAAAAAGTGCCCGCTATCCGCCCAGGTTCACTTGACCGACGGACGCCGTCGGTCAAAATAGGAGAAGAGTTGACGAAGAAATTGTTCAGTGGCTCTCTGTGAGTCTCCAACCCGGCGACACGATCAGTGGCTGGGCAGCCGATCAAGTGTCGGGTACTCATTTTTCGTTCAACGTCTACATTCTCGCGTTCACCAGACGTGACATACTACGTGCACCGAAAACTATCTACGCGCCAGCGACCTTTTGCTCTCTCTCTCTCCCTGAGAAGGTGTGTAGACAGCCGGAGGGAGCTCGGAAATGGGAATGTCTGATTTGAGCGATCAGCATGCGAATGTCATTAAAGTGCGCGGTCTGCAGCACTCTGGCTGGACAGTGGACTCCACCTGGCAGAAAAGAAGTGAATCCCTTGACATTCTCTCTCTTAAGCGGGACCGGCCGTGTAATACTACCTACCTACCTACCTACCTCTCCCTGAGAAGGTGTGTACATAGCCGGAGGGAGCTCGGAAATGGCAATGTCTGATTTGAGCGATCAGCATGCGAATGTCGTTCAAGTGCGCGGTTTGCGAGCACGCGGGCTGGATAGTGGACTCCACCTGACAGAAAAGAAGTGAATCCCTTGACATTCTCTCCCTGAAAAGGTGTGTACATAGCCGGAGGGAATGTCTGATTTGAGCGATCAGCATGTGAATGTCGTTAAAGTGCGCGGTCTGCGAGCGCACCACGATTGGGGAACAACCATCAACCGCGCTGGCTGGACACCTGGCAAAAAAAAGTCGCATGGGGTAGAAGCACAATTTCTTGGTTTCTCAAAAAGTGAAGCTTAGTTTTTTTTAAATCAAGAAAATTGGATCGATAGCCATCGATAGTGATTTTGAGCAAAAGGAATTCCCGCTAGCCGATTTGAACGACTGACCTCGTCATGATATACGACCAACTACTTCCTGATACTAGTGACGCGCTCTACCAACTGAGCTAAGAGGGACCTCATGTCAATGCCCATGTCGTGTAGCTATGTCCATCTGATTGAAATTCACATTACTCAAGGAGGGTAAGCGTTTGAAATTTGGCTTTTCTCCCAAAGAAATATATAAATACTATGGCACCTCGCAGACATTCCCCCGAACGATCCCAGGTCCACCTCACATTATTGTAAAAGGTCGCGCTGCCACAAGGCCCTCCGGTTTGTTGCCCGACTTGTTTCTTTTTTTCGATGTAAAACACGTTGCACATGTTTAGCGCAGAAATGGAACGCGTGTCTTCACGTGATCTTTCCTTCTCTTCCCAACTCTCTTAAACTCGCAACGGACCAGTCGAATTGATCTTGGATCTTGTTTAAAGAGTTCAACATCTCAGATTCTCCTACTCTGAATCCTCTCCATCCGACTCCAATCGCCCTGTGTTCATTCTCGTTTGCTTTTCTGGCGGTCTCCAATATTCCAATTTTATTCTAGGTCAGACGACCACAGCTCGACTTCTTCCTTATATGCTATCGCCGTAGTGGGTCTTCCACCCGTTGTCGTCGTCGCTCCCTTCCCCGCTCTCTTCGTCGTCGCACTATCATCTTCCAAAGTGCTTGCGTCTTCTCCCTGAGAATTCCCGAAATGCACCACCACTTTCCCTACAGACGGCCACGCTTGTCGATAGTAGATGCTCGAGATGTCGGCGTCAGTGATTTCAATACAGAGGGAAAACAAATCGCAGCCAGATCATGAAAGTAAGCTCTGCACGGCGAGGACGATGTCCGGCCTCAAAGTGGGCTCTGAAAGGCACAAATAGTTGAGCAGGGAGGGTCAGCTTTGCCAAAAGTTGGGTTTGTGTCCTAGGGTCGTGCTTGGACCCGTCGACACGAATGAACGTTAAACGCTCTAGGTGAACGAGAGGTGGGACATCCGCCAGATTGACCATAATTTCATAGTCAGAAGACGAAAGGATTTGGACGCCGAAGGAATCTACATTGATCGACGCACGTAGAAGCTGCGCGACGTGCTGGGGAAGCTGCACGTTGAACAGGCAAATCCAGGTGATTTGCTCCCACGGAAAAGCGAATGCGTTGGGGTTGAGCAGAATGAAACCCACTTTCCGCAATTTTGGAGCACCTTGGGACATCGTCAACTGCAACGCAGCTTCAGCCTGTTCCATAACGTCGTTCCAATCGGAGCGGCCAAACGAACTCCTCGAGCAAAGGCAATTCGTCTCCAATTACCGTTGGATTTTCCCCCAACGCTTGTGATGAGGGAAAATTGCATCAACAAATTTGTGTGCAAAGGCCAGCTCTGGGCAGGAGTGGAAAATAGAAACAGTTAGGCAACAGTCCCGGGACCGAGCTAGCTAAGTCTCTAGGAGACGGAGGGCGCTGTCGTGGGTGTTGATGATTTTTATTTCGATCGTACTCCAGAGTGACGGGGTAGATAAAGCGATTTCTCGCCATTTTCTACAGATATGGCCCAGAAACAAGGGCGAGCTGGGGTCCGAGGGCAACCTCTCGGACGAGTCGAGGGATTGGAAGATGATTTCCGAGATGATTTCGTTGGGCAAGGTCAAAACAGGGTAAATGTAAGCGTCGAAACGGGCCTTCAACGTTTTGGGTTCAAGGCGGACTGCTCGAATGGAGGCCTGAAGAGCGGCTATCTGCGAATCCACTGCATCCATGCGGCTGCGGGTCGCCGGCGGAGTCAAAATCGGTGCTGACAAGGCGAACGGCATTGGGGACATGTTGATCTCTGGCAGTTTTGGACTCAGAGTTACAATTTTTGCAGGGATGAGCTGCTTACCTGTTGTTCAGGTTCTGAAACCTTTTTACGTCTTTTGCTGCCAGTGGGCCTGGGGCTGCCGCTGGTTGGGCTTTTAAGGCGGGGAAAGATTGCGGGAAGACTATCCCAAACGAACAAGGTACTTTTTCAGGTTGATGCAGCGGCAGGATCCAGCCTACACCCACCGGCCTCTGAACAAAAAAAGTAGAAATTCAAAGTGGCCATTTGGGAAGAGGCGAAGCACATCACGTGTCGGATCAGCGCGTTGCAATCAGCCAAACACCTCCAAATTCCCGTCAAATCGCTGCATTCTGAACTCGGTCACGCATCAATGGCGTGCACTGCCTAGACACGATGGCATTTAGGATATTTCGAATATTGAATCCCGAGATTTGGCTGCATGCTTTCTCAGCGTGCAGCGCCGAGGGATACGTATGTATTCCCTCATGCGGAACCTTTTATTGGCGCGTACTGAAAAGTATGCGCACTCGACACCCTCTCTGAAATTGCGTGATACAGCTGAATTTTTTGGATTTGTAGGTCCCCTAGAGTAGATAGACTACGGTAGACTTTACGCCAAAGCAGGCGTCTCGCAAAATAGCTGCGCCAACATCACCTCCGGGTATCGTTCCCCCTGGGTCGCGTCCGCCTTTGCAGAAATCTCCCTCACGGCCTCCACATCTGATGCAGACAGTTTCAGTGCACCTGCGGCAATATTCTCCTCGAGGTACTGTGCGACTCAATCAGCATTCCGACTACAAATCCAAGGTAAGCAATTAAATTCACTTTAATTTTCTTCGTCCCGGGGATGGGGATAACGTCGTCGCCCTGTGCGAGGAGCCATGCAAGTGCGACTTGTCCCCCGGTCACCCCGTTATATTTGACACCAATTTCTTTGAGTCCGTCTGCGAGCTTGAGGATGTTGGGGAAGTTGGCGGCGTTATACCTGGTAGTATGCAATGGTGAACGACCGTGCAGAAAAACTATCTAGCATGCAAGACATACCGAGCGATACTTTTACGGAAATCCGAGTCGTCAAAGTCGTCTGGAGATTTCTGCGTGGACATTCATAAACATTAACCACTAGCGGTTGCCAAAAAATTGGAGGCAGACGCACGAACTGGCCCGTAAGCAGGCCTCTCCCGAGCGGCGAGTACGCGACGATCTTCACGCCGAGCTCGCGCGCCGTGTTGAGTAAGTTGATCTTAGGATCCTCAATGTCGAGCGTGAAGGGCGAATACTCAACCTGCACCGCGGCAATCGGATGGACCGCATGCGCTCGGCGTAGGGTGGAAGCGGAGACTTCCGAGAGACCCAGATGCTTCACCTTGCCGGCCCTACATGCAGGAGAACGGTAAATTAGGGCAGAAGTTAAGTTAAATATAACGTACTTGACTAGCTCGGCCATTGCGCCGACTGTGTGCTCGATGGGGACCTTCGCGTCCGCTCGCTGTATTGCATATCGTTGAATCACAGATATTTGAAATGGAAAAGATCGAAAATCGCACATGAAGATAATATAGATCGATGCTTTCCACACCGAGCTTCGCGAGCGACGCGTTTGCGGCCTTCCGTACATAGTCGGGGCTCCCGTTGATCGAAAGGTCCGGTCTCATTCCACATTTCGTGCAGAGGAAAATATCTTCACGCTTCCCGGTGCGCTTGAACCTTCCGCATCACATAGTAAGTCGATCCGGACCTAAAGTATAACAGTATATGCACGCACCACTTGCCGATCAACTCTTCCGAGTCCGCGTATACATCCGCGGTGTCCCAGAACGTGCATCCGGCAGCGTGGACCGCGTCGAGCACCTGGAGAGTTAATCCATGGATTTCCTGGACTCAGAGCGCAGAGATACTACACACTTTGAATCGCTCCTCATCCGAGTCCACCTGTCCGTAGAACGCTGAAATGCCCATCGCACCGAAGCCAATGGCAGAGAAAGTCGAGTCTCCGAGTTTGCGAGTAAGAGACATGCTGTGTGTTCTTTGCGAGTCTAATTTTCACCAACTTCACCGCCTCCTCTTATACTTACGGACCTCA